TAATCATCAGCAAATCGCATATATTACACATACCGCACGCATAATTTATAAATTCTTATCGCATAAAATCCGTGTCCCTGCTATACAGTATTACAGCAAAATTAATGTCTGTATTAAACAATAATACTATATAGACAACTATATTACAGCAAAATTAGTGTCTGACTTATTGTGTAAGTTAGTGGTTTATTAGTAAAACTATGAGCAATTTTTTAGGCAGAATTTATCAATTCCGACCTGTAATTTTGGTCAATCTGCTGAAATTTGGTTGCGCAACTAATCTATTCGCCCGACACCTTTTTTCGCCACGGCTAGGGTACTATATTAATACTACTGACTGCAGATTATCCCAGGAACTCCAACTCTCGTTTTTTATTGGTTGTTTCTGACCAACATTGCATGAACATGCTCAATAAATTTACGTGATTTATTTGATATATTTATTTATGTGTTAAGTCATAATTATTTCAAGGATCATTAAATCATTCCTAGTATTATGCATTAATTTCTAGTGTGTTTATTTTTTGAATATATAACATCAGGCCTAATCAATATTATTTGATTATTCAGAATCACTTTCATCTACCTCCATCTCTTCTTTGTTTTTCTGTTTTGATCTAAAACCATTAAATACGATCTTTTCTTCATCGTCATCATCGGATTCCTCTTCATCAGTTTCGTCTGAAGAAAGTGCCGACCCCTGAATAAATGTAAACACTTTAATATGTATAACGAAATGATAGATAATCAATGGCAAATTAATAGAAATATACATCATCAGAATCGGACGATCCTTCACTAGCTGATTCATTTGTATGATCCATTATATCAAGACCGTCTTCACTAATGTTATCATCACTACTGCTTTCGACATAAACGGTTTCAGATCCGTTTGTTGTTACAGCTCCTTGAGTTTTCCGCATCGCTATTTGTTGCATTATTAAATCTAGACGTCCTTGAAAATTCAACAATTTTTGAAATACAGCCGATCGAGAATCCAATGCTTGATAAAAATCCGAAAGTTTCTGAGTTAAATCAGGTACCTGAATATAAAAAAAAAAAATCAGCAATTTATTACGAAAAATTATACGAAATTCGAATTACGTACTGTCATCAGATATGTCATATGTATCAATGTTACAGCCTTTATCCATTGTAACATATTCATTACGGATTTAGGTTTTTCATAAAACCTTGTGATCACCTTTTCCAAGAAAGGTATTATATACTTTGTAGGTAATTTTCTAACAGTGTTGCTAACAATATCTGGGTTTGTTTGTTCCAAAACTAAATTAAATAGATGATCATCATTTGAGTGTAATGCTTGAACTAACATCTGCTGCATGGAATTTCCTTGGAGTGTTTTAAACTTTGGTGTGTGCGATGACTTTTGAGAGGTTTCAGATTCCACACTCATCAAATCAAGTTCATTCAATCTTGTTTCTAATGTTTCTTCCTAATTAAGGATAATTATCGCTATTAAAAACCGACATTTATAATCATCAAATATATATATATATATAACGTACCTGAGTCGATGAATCTTGGTTCAGCGAATTTTGAGTCGATGAATCTTGAGTGGGTTTGTCAATTTCTGCGGGTGGTTTTGGTATTTCGTAATTTGAACTACTTAGCACGTTGGCTTTTGACTCATCATATGATTTTTGTGTAGCCGCCTTTTTAATTTGTGCATATTAGAACTTTGCAACCACATATAGAGTCGTTTAGTAATGTATATTCAAGCTCACCAAATTTTTAGCTGCCAAACTTGATTCATCTACTAAGAAACCAGTTGATGGATGGCGCATTAATGTCACATTTTGTAAGAACTCTCCACTTTCTTCATTGATGAACCGCTGTTCATTTTAGCGAATTTTATGACATTATGATTAATCGGAACGGAAATTTTAAAGATGAATTTCGAAAAGACGTACCACTTTTTCAAAAATAGGTTTTACTGTACTCCCTCTGGCGACCATTATAAATCCACTTTCTTCATTTTCATTTTCGTCCAAAAAACATGCAGAAAGAATTGGTATTACTGTGTTATCATTTTCATTTAGAACCTTAACTATACAATCTGGCGTTTGTGTTGTAAATCGTTTTTTCTTTTTATTTAACTGCACGGGAGAATGGGAATTCACATCTCTGAAAATATTTATGATACCCGTTTCAGAAATTGCCAGAATGGCGTTAAATTTAGATATCGAAAGACCTTTTGTGTCCTCATCCAGAGTGAGTGCTGAACCATTTTACGTACAGAAAGAATGATAGCAACAAATAGTATCAATCGAATATCAATGATGAATTTAGTCATCAGCAAGTAAACGAACATTTATTACCAGCAAAACCAACGCCTTGTGGTTCATTTCCTTTACATTGCCAAATATTTATGAATCTATCGTGTTCTGCAGTCGACACACAGATACCATCGCTAGATGAGAACATAATATTAGTTATTATGCTCACATGTCCAGTGAAGCTCTTGAGAACCTGTTTTGATCGCAAATCCCACAATTTGATGGTATGTCCTGCGGATAACAATTTGGTCTCATCATGCGAAAGCGCAATAATATATTTAGTCGTTTGGGCGTCAACTTTCCATTTACTATTACAATATATGAGACATCTCAGTTAATAACTAATAAATAATTAAACTTATTTTAACTTATAATACCTAATTATATCCCCCTTTTCAAAATCCCATTCAACAATATACGTGTCTTCAGCGCAAGAATAAGCTTTTTTTCCATTTTTAGAAAAAATAAAATTGTTAATCGGTAATTTATGTGAACCGCTCAGTGTTTTTACAATGTCTCCGTGAGCAATTGAGTAAATGGCAATAGAACCATTCTGCAATCCGAGAGCGATAACTTTACTAAATTGTTGAATTTGTGATGATAGTTTCTTTTTCTTTTTTGGTGGAGGAGCGTCCTAAAGAAGAAATTGTTTCTATCAATATAAGAATTTACAAATCTATATATAACGAGGAAAGTGAAAGGACTATGCGTGCCTTGTACGACTTACAACTTTGCCGTTCAAATCCTCGTCATATACTTTTCCCCAAGACAAGCAGGTGAATTTATCTTCTTTATCCGAAGAAAAATCATTGTTAACTGTACCCGTATGCGTGTCAAATACCCTGAGACGGTGACGATCTACATTTTGAGTGACTAATGCAAAAAATTCCGCTGTAGGTAAATCAAAACTTGCTAGAAGCGATTCAGTTTTATTAGAATTCACAGTTGAGTGTGTCTCGCTGATGGCTGTATTTAAGTTGTTTCTTGGCTTGTTCTTCGTTCTCCCCATAATTTTTAAAAAATTGTAAAGGTTATAGTTACGAAAAAATTTTTTTTTTTTTGTATGCACGATACTGATACCAGATAATCAGCGAGTCATATGATTGGAGATAAATATACAGGGTTGGCATTGGACAACGTCCAAAATAATTTTTTTGAAAAGTCTTTCAAGCACTTTACTGGATTTTAGTTTCTACTTCACCTGATCCAATAAAAAAATCGTCCCAATCAAATTATACAGTTCTAGCTCCAAAAGAACGTCTATATTCACTATGCAAAATAATCAAAAATACTGTAATCAAAAACAATCAAAAATAATCAGTAACTTCAAAAACTTTACTTAGAAGCGAATATTTTTGCTATTTATTGCTATTGTAGTTATTTGTAAAATATTAGCAAATGTAATTTGGTTTTAAATGATGGGTCGATTATTGTTTCGATAATTTTATGGGTTAAAGGTTGTGTCGCATCTCACGATGATTAAAAATAAAATTTTTAATAAAATGTATTAAGAATAAAGATAGCTTTGCTAATAATTTATTCGCATATTGAATTTTTTGATGTAGATTCTTTGTCTTTGATAAATTCTTGCGTTATTCCAGTATTCAAATTTTTTCTACAAATCTACAAAATTAACCAATCATATGAATGTCTCCTATGAAGGTCATATGAGGGTGAAAAACACCATGCGCCAACCATGCGCGGTGACCCGTGTTTACTAGAATTTAGCGCGGATTTCACCCTGACATATTAGAATAAATCAGCTGTAATAAATATCCCTCACCTAAAAACGCGAAACTCTTTTTTTAACATTGCTTTTTGACGAGTGTCCGTGTAAGTTTGTCGATTCACTTATCTCCTCGTTACTTATTGATAGTTTTGAACTAAGCGCGAAGGAAGTGACCGCGGTAGGGTTGAGTCCTATCGGAAGCCAATTATGGCGAGTCACCATCAAGCAGTGGCCGGCGGATTTCGCTGATATGCGCGAAGGAAGCGACCGTGGTAGGGTTCAACCGATCGGAAGCTAGTTATGGCGAGCCACCATCAAGCGTGGCCGATGCCTCAGAACTATCATGGGCTTGACATCATGAAAAGGTGACCACGGTAGGGTTGAGTCCTATCAGAAGCCAGTTATGGCGAGTCTCTATTAAGCAGAGGCCAGTCTTGATTGAGAGATAGCTCGCTTTAGTAGTTATTTGATGCCTTCTGTTTAGAATGTTTTTTACAATTTACAAGATATAATAGAAAAAGTAAAAACAAAGCTAAGAAAAGTCAACAAAATTTAAATATAGATTGGATTATAAATTCTCCTAATCCAACACCAATTACTTTTTTTCGTCTAACACACCCAGCGGCACGTTCTTGAGCAATAGATACATAAAAAATGGTTTAATCTTGCTTTAAACCGTAGTGTCACGGGCTAGATTGACATCATAGTCAATCAATCAAATTTACAATTTAGAGCCGAAGGCTTAGATAATTTATAATATATCTCGGTGATAAGCAGATCTCGGCTGATAGAAATTAAGCCACTATACAATAAGGTGAGTTTTGTTTAAGCCTCATTAGTCCTTTAATGTTATATAAAGGACGTAACTTAGATAAAGGTTGGTTATGACTCACTAACCCGATAATAATTCTCATTATATGAACCAAATCACCAACGTCATGCCTCTGGTGAGTTGCCTTATCACATAAATTCTATATTTTATAGTATAGATTATCGATTATACGATTCACCCCGTAACACTACAATGCTACAAACGACAATAAAAGGAAATATACATTGCATTCACAGTCACGAAGTAAAAAACAAAAAGACCACTGTTATCCCCATACATTTGCAGAATTCGTGAACAATGTTTGGGTTCGTGACAACATCCACTACAAGTTCACTCACCTCAGGAAAACACGCGGGAAAACATATAGAATTTAAAGACCGAAAAATTAATAGAATTCTTGAGAAATCAATCCTTAGTCGGATCTGCCAACTTTTTTTTCTCTGGTAAGGCTGAGAGAACGTGCAAGGCACGTTCTCTCAGCCAACACTCGACCTGTCTCTTCTTACTCAGTACCATAACCTTGATAACGAAGATTTTTTGTGTTTATCGACTGTGAATTAAAGGTGGGACCTATCGTAACACTTTTAAATTTAATAACTGAAGTTAATACTGGTATGTACAGTATATGGATTTGGTATATAGTAGTTTTATTGTATAACTTATTTAATTTCTTTCTTTATAGGGAGATCGTAAAAAATTCGAAATGGCTATACTCCAGATATTTCTATATCTTTCCTTTTAACAAATGTATCCATGTACGATACATTTTTCTACAAAATAGGTATATGTTTTTCTTGCCGAAAATGTTTTTTCTGTTTTACAGATTTAACACAAGAGCTCTGTAAGTGCAATACAGAGCAAAAGCCTTCCCGTTCAAAATCATAAGAGCTGCAATTGTGCTACATTATGTAGTAATAACAAATGCACTAAAAAATTTAAAAATTTTTGTACTAAGAAATGTCATAACGGAGTTCCATGTAACAACTCAAATTAATTAACAGAGTATGGAATATATGAACATTTTTGATTAGTAGTTAGTAATATTCATTTACAAATTTATTTTTATTAAATATAAACTTTAGTTTTTACTATTTTATATATTTTTATTTAAAATAACACCTATACTCATCAAAAAATGTAGATCATTCTGAAATTTTTATCAGATTTGGTCACATGTCTTGCTTATTATTAGTCAAAAATTCATGCCACCTAAGAAATTTTCATATTTATTCCGAAATTTGAGAAATTAATTAACTTTAACCTTTAATACTTTACAAAATAACAAATTACAGAAAAAAATAAGCCATAAATCTGAAAGAGTGGCATCGAATTTACTATTTTTACGGTTTATATTTTTAATATCACTTAAATTAAAAGACAAGAAGCTATTTGAATTTATATGAATTTTCTTTGATGACTATAAGTGACGTGAACCATAGTAATCGAGGATTTCGATGAAGTGGTAGAATCATGGACGAAGTTCAATTTTTTGATCTAATTCCAACGTTAAATACACCTGGGGCATTAGGGTTCTGCAACCCGGGCACGTGGTTGTGCCCATAAAAATTTAGGCACAGTCATAGGCATGAATATTTAGAAAAACTTAGGCATCATGGCTTTAAAATTTTGGTATAGGTATGGGCACAGGCACAAAAATTTGGCATGGGCGTGGGCACAGGCACAGTAATTTGATATTTATTATTTAATTGTGCTTGGCACTTGTGCCCATGCCTTTACTAGTGCCTGGCACTCTGTGCCCATACCTTTAATGTGCCTGGTATTTCATGCCCTTTTGTGTCTATGGGCATTTGCAGATCCCTATAGGGCATCAATTATAAAAAAGCCGCAGAAATAATGAAGTTGAAACTTTATGAGATAAATTTTCTACAAATGAAATTATAGATTTTCTACAATGAATTATAAAGATTAATTTTTCTGCAATAAATTATAAAGATAAATTTTCTACAATAAAGTTATAAAGATATTGCACATACATGGTCTCTAATGTCACTTAGAAGTTGTCATAATTCTATAGTTAAAGATTGCGTCCAGATAAAAAAATATTTATTAATTTAACCAGATAACTCGAAAATTTAATAATAGATGTGTGACCGGCTATAGTGAATATATTAATCGTGCAATTAAAATTCCGGGTCCAAATGGGTCGGAATTGATTAATTTTGCCTAAAATCGCTCAAATTTTACCGTAGTCCACGTAGAGATGTGCCTTGCGCGAGGTAAAACCAGCATACATTCAAAGAATCATATGACTCTGCGCGAAATGCGAGGTGGCATCATCTGAGTTCGACAGATTCATAGGCTTTAATATAAACTATCACAAATCACTGATTAAAGAATTACTTCGCGCGAGGTATATCGTAATAATTTGCGCGAGGGCGATGTCATTATACTGTATTATTCGGGGTACATCTCTAAGCCCACGTACTAAATAAAAATTTCTCGGACGCTAATTTTGCTATAGTATAGTTGACTAGTGTTATTGCTTACAGCTGTTTTAATAATCCTGGACACTTGATAAGTTTTTGTCATCGGAAAATTTTCATTTTTATCTGACAGATTCTTGAAATATTTTAACTTTATATTTATTGTCATTATGAAATTGTGAATCAAGAACGACGAAAGGGCTCTGTGAACTTGGACAAAAATATCGGTAAAGTGCCGACATCGAAAAGGACTTGCACAAAGCATTCGAATATTATGAACAAGCCACCAAGACGAGTTATAATTTAGAAATGTTTTGTTGGGCCTTGTTATGACGAAGGAATTGGACAAATACAAGGCTTTCAAATATTACCAAAAATCAGTTAACAAGGATCATACCAAGGGAACATACAAGGTTATTGTTACAATATTGGTATCTGCTTATCTCTTAGTGACTAACTCCGACAGATATTTGGATAAACTGGACAAAGAACTAATATTCGGATTATCTAGATCGTCAGATATAATAGTTCCATCTCTAGGTTTTAGTCGAAAAGAACGAACACAAAGCATTTGTGAATTATATGAAAGCTGTGACCTAGGTAATGTTAAAGTGACATATAATGTAGGAAAATGTTATTCAAATGGAAAAGGCTTTCGAGTATTAACAAAAATCAGTTAACATGGATTATGCAGAGAGAACATATAGGTTACGACCATGAAGTCGAGAAGGACGAACGCAAGACATTTGAGCATTGTATGAAAGCTTTTGAGCTAGGTAGGTATTGCTTAAGGGACACATAATGTTGAACAATACAAATATTATTCAGATGGAACCGAAGCCATATCAAAAAAATATCAGAATTATAAATTTTTAATTTTGAATTTTTGTAAACGTTCTCAAATATATATTGATGCGCGCATCATTTTAATTAAAGTGTATTATAACGCATATATTTATTTGTAGATATTAAACAAAAAAGGCTAGTTAAGACATCACTAAATGATCTGAAAATTTTTAAAATGAATAAAGTTTTTTTGAAGACTATATATCGATATTTTAAGATACATAAAAGAAATTAAACGTCAATAAGAATTCTCGTATACAAAATAGGTGCGATTCGGTTCATTAAAGGGCCAGAATTCCATATATGTACATGCTCATACCAAGAACAAGTAGATATTTGCCCTTCAATATATAAATTAAAATCTACACCTAAAACAAATTCAGTATATGCATCATCAAAGGATCAATCAAAGTAGTGTTCCACAATCTCACTGTCATATCATATGAAGCAGAAGCAATAATATTGCCATCATATGGAGAACACTTCACCCTTCTTATAGCGTATTGACGTTCATGTAAACAAGTTACTTCACGATCAGGAAATCTTAAACCCCATACTTTTACTGTACGATCCGACAAACCAGTGACAATAACATTCTCCTGATATTTATTCCAATCTAGAGAAAGAATTTCATTGCTATGAGCTCGTATAGTTTGGGCGGATCTTGGAATTTTTACATCCCAGACTTTGAAAGTATTATCACTAGAAGCAGAACCAAAAACATAAGGATTATAAGGAGACCAAATAGTACTATACACATATGCAGTGTGCTCAGAGAATATGGATAATGATTGTGGAACTTCAGGACGCCACTAAAAAGTTATTATAAACTTTGAAATCTCTATAAAGTAAGAAAGGGTCAAATGAATAAGGAAATAAACAAATACCAATCTGATAGTATGATCCCAAGAACCACTAACAAAAGAATCTTTTTTGATTAAATTCCAATATACAGAAAAAACCTCTCTTTGATGTTTTTCCATTTTTTTATTGGAAAATCCTAATCCAAAAAAAAAAAACATAGCTTGCATTAATATTAATGCAGGTTATATTTGAGAACAAAAACTAAACTAAGTAAAAGAAACAACCATGAGAGTAATATCCCATAACATTATTGAACGATCACCACTAGCAGTAACAGTTTGATTCTCATTAACTTCACTCCAAGAGCAATCAAATAAACCATCTTTAGTATCATATCTGTTTGAATAATATAAACATTATTTTTGTGTTATAATTATTGAGAGAATATCGTCAACGGAATCATGGATTACATTCGTTCAATCTCCACACCATTAGGGCCAACACCGGTATTTAAAATGTATAATCTTCTGTTTCCTACTAATCCTATTATCAATGAATGGACTGAATTGTAGCTACAAAAAAAATTCATGAATAGTTAAAAAAATTATAATTGAGATCATATTTAATCGATATTTTTATTTGTCAAAAAATTTTTACCGAATATCCATTGTGTCCTTCGGTACGAAGTCGCAACTTTTTTTAAAAAAATAATTCACATGGTCTGTAATACCACAAAATAGACCGCAAAAAATACAGTGTGGTTAAGGTTGAGTAAGTTGTATTAGAATTTCCTATCTAGAGATTGGCACTATGCAGTATGATGCTTAATTGTCACATTATTAAAATTACAAAAATCACATAGGATGATGAATTATAAAATGTGACAATTAAGCACCATGCCCATCTCTATTCCTATGTGAGTTGCTGTAAAGACTCCAGTACAAAGTATGTTGAGTTAGTCTTGAGATTATTGTAATTTCCATCATGAGTTACTAAGAGAAATTCTGTTACAAAACTTACTCACCATTTCAGCAATACCAGTATGTAGTTAAGATTGAGTTAGTTTATGTTGGAACCATCGTGATTTCTGTCGAAAGCTGCTGTAAAATTCTAATACTGAACTTATTCGCTACTGCAATATATATGTTAAAGGTTAAGTTAGTTTGCATTGGAATTATCGCAATTTCTATTATGGTCACTGTAAAAATTTTTGCTACAGACCTTACTTGCTATCACAATACGTGGTTAAAGTGAAGTTAATTTGCATTAGAATCATCATGATTTTAATCTTACTATTCCGATGGCACAGATGCGGTTAAGGTTGAGTTAGTTGCATTCGTGATTCCTATCATGAGTTGCTATGAAAATTCCAGTACAAAGTATGTGGTTAAAGGTTGAGTTAGTATACATTGAAATTATTAAAATTCTTATCATAAGTTACTAAAAAACTTACTATTCCAGTAATACCAGTATGTAGTTAAAGTTGAGTTAGTCTATGTTGGAATCAGCGTGATTTCTGTTGAAAGTTGCTGTTAAGATTCTGAGACTAAGTTTATTCGCTACCGCAATGTATATGTTAAAGGTTAAGTTGCTGAAATTATTGCGATTTTTATAATGAGTCACTGTAAAAATTTTACTACTAACCTTACTTGATATTCGGCAATACACAGAATGTGGTTAAAGTGAAGTAGTTTGCATTAGAGTTATCACAATTTAATCTCCTTACTGCTCTAGTAACACAGATGCGATTAAGGTTGAGTAAGTTGCATTGGAATTATCTACTGCCTTAGCCGCTTAATCGTTTAACGAATTACCCGTTTAATTCAACCGGCATTAAAATTGTCCTGGTCCATAATAAAAATAATTCGGCCCGGTACTATAAAACTTTTTATGCGGTTAAATGGTTCCAATCCCTAGAATTATCATAATTCTTATCATAAGTTGCTGTAAAAAATTCTAGTACAAAGTATGTGGTTAAAGGTTGAGTTAGTCTACATTGAAATTATTGTAATTCCTATCACGAGTGATTAAAAAAAATCCTGTTACAAAACCTACTTTTTATTATAATCGACAAAAATTTTCGATAACTATTTAGATCGATCTCAAGCAGTGATTGAGGTCTTTATTTTGATCAATCGTTAATTGAACATCGCTACAATTATTAGAAAATCACAGTAAAAGTAATATTTGAGCATATCTCAATAATATCGTCACTCGTATTTCTAAAGAGGGTTGAAAAAAATTCGTCATTAAAGCTGCACCCTAACCCTAAAAGTACTAAGGGAGGTAATTTCCTCGATTAAACGTAGTAATTTTCAATTATGAAAATGAAAAACAAATATAAAAATGAAAACGAAAAAAAATATAATGTAAACGCGATAAGCAAAAAAAAAAACCAATAAACATTATTCAACGCGCGAATGTTGCCCAATCAAATAGCAATAGCGAAATTTTCAGCAGTAA